TCTATCCTTCCCTACCTATCCCTACCCTCTTTACCTGTCTTCCCTCCCTTCAGCCCTCACCTCTCCCTAACCCTCTTCCCTTCCTTGCTTTCTTCTCCTCCCTCTACCGCCCCTTTTCCATCCTTCCTTTTTCTCCCTCCGATTCTTCCCTTCCCTCCCTCCTCCCTCCCTCCCTGCACTCCCTCCCGTATCCTTCCCCTTCTTCCTTCCTCCATATCTTCACTCTCGTACCAGAACGCTCAACTCCAGTGAAGAATCCCAGCGTCGGTAGAGGCGCCAGAGCGTCATATAAATACCGACGAGTTACGACGTCACGACAACCGTACGTTCATGCCACCGCGACGCGACACATCACGCGTCACGACAAGCGTCGTTCAGGCGACCCGCGACGCGAGCGGTCGGCGACAAGCGTCGTTCGGCCGAGCACAGACGCGACGTCGCGACCAAGCCGATACGTTTCAGGCCGAACCACCGCGCGACTGTCGACGACAGCGTCGTTCAGGCCACACGAACGCGACTCCCACACATGTCGGCGACAAGACGTCGTTTATGGCCGACGGTCTCACCGACGCGACGGCCGCGCGCGCGCACTCTCGCGAGCACGCGGGCAGCAGACGACGGGAGAAGGTTGCTGGAGAAGCTGATCCAACGTCTGCATTGCAGGAGGCGACGTGCTGCGAGCCTGCGCACCATGCGTCGTCGTCGGCAGCCATGCAGCCGTGATCGGCCCCGCGTCAGTCCTGTCGCAGCATGCAGCCAACGCGCTATGTCGGCCCCACGTCGTCGGTCGGCACTAGCAGCAGCGTGTCGGCTCCGCGTCGTCGTCGGCAGCCAAGCAGCGTGTCGGCCCCGCGTCGTCGTCAGCACCCAGGCAGCGTGTCGGCCCCGCGTCGTCGTCAGCACCCAGGCAGCGTGTCGGCCCCACGTCGTCGTCGGTAGCCACGCAGCGAGTCGGCCCTGCGTCGTCGGCTCCCCACTGGATCGCTAACGCTGCGGACGGAGACACGCGTAATCGTTCCGGTGCCGCCATCGTCAACACCGCCGCCGCCGCCGACGACGACGACGACGACGACGGTGATAACGATGAGAACGATGAGAATGATAAAGACGGCGACGATGACGATACTGATGCTGTCGACGACGACAACGATGACGACATCGACGGCGATAACGATAATGACAACGACGATGGCGGTGGCGACAGCAAACCTAGGTGCTGCACGGCTATATCAGTTATATATATAGAATATAGTTATATAATAGATTAGTAGATATAGAAAGATCTCTATAATATACTAATATATATACTGTATATATATACTTATATAGTAGGTTAGTATATAGCGATATCCATATTAATATTAATATATACTATATAGTTATATCGTAGGTTAGTATAACCAGTGGCGACCACAGAGTCGAGCTCACCAGGGAAGCCGTCCCGTTGACGTCTCTCACAGATTCTCTCCACGGTTGAGTTTGCGTAACCGTAGTTCGTCTGCCCCGCGTTGCCACGGCCGCAGCACACAGACGAGAACACGACGAACCAGTCCAGCGTGGTGGCGCACGTGTCGCGAGTCACGAGGTCAAGGTTAACTGCGGCCGCCATCTTGGGTTTGTTGCCCTCGCTGAAGGTTAGTGGCGTCTGCGTTCGGAACGGTCCGTCTCTCCGCACCTAGAATGGAGGATCGAGCGGACGAATGAATCTATTGTGCTAACGATTACTGTCAACGCGTTGCATAAGCAATTACAGTAAATTGAAAACTATAATATAGGTTATGTTATATAAACTATATTACGCAATTATTATACGCAAGGGAAAACGCCAGAAATGTCACTCGTAGAAATGTGTTCGTTAGATTGTAGTGGTTTAACTGAATAACTGCACCTTAAGAGAAAAATCAAAAGTGTCGTTTATAGACGGGATGTGATTTTGCACCAGTAATACAAGTTTTTGAAGTAAAGGAAAGCGTTTCATTTGACTTAAAGATACGAAAGTAGGTGAATAAAAAACTATGGAATTTGAGATAAGAAATTGTATTCGAGTCAGGTAAGCTACGATATTAAAGCTTTATCGTGAATCTATGAACATTTTATCTAGGTAAATCCCCGATTAAATTGATTTCTTCTGAACAGCTTACACAGCCAAAACCACGGCTTCTCACCTCTGCCAGATGAAAGAGGCCGCCCACTGGCGCCATCTGGTGGCTGACGTCGATCAGTTGTCTCGCCTGCGCCTCCACGCTAGCGTCCATCTTGCTGACCTCCACTCTCACACCCAGAGCCCGCCACTGCGCCAGTCTGTACTGCTGGTAACCTGTCGCGTATGTAACGCCGCAGCGTCGTTTGCATATCGCTCTTGCAGCCAGTGTAGATAGTATGAGGAGTTCAATAACTTAACCTAAGCATTACCGAACTCATTATTAACTTTACCCATCAGCGTTTAATACTCCTATGTTATAATTCGAAAGATAGATAGATGGATGGATGAATAGATGGATGGATGGATGGATGGATGGATGGATGGATGGATGGATGGATGGAATGGAATGGATGGATGGATGGATGAATAGATGGTATATGGATGGATGGCATGGCAATGGATGGCTGATGGATGGACTGGCACTGGAATGGAATGGCATGGATGGTTATGGTCTATGATGGATGGATGGTATGGAGGTGATAGTGAGGGCGACGGACGGAGGAATGAAGGACGGGTGGACGGATGGCATGCGATGTAAATGGTAATGGATGGATGGCATGGCTCGTGGATGGATGGATGGACATGAGATGGATGATGGCATGGAGTGGATGAATGGATGACATGAGTCATGGTATGCGATGGTATGGCAGGAATGAATGGAATGGATGGATGCGATGGAATGGATGCGATCGGATGGAATAGATGAATGGAGCGGAGGGAGGAGGGACGGCACGATGGATGATTGGAACGTACGAACAGACAGACAGATAGTACGATCTACTGTCATCGCGCCTGATCGGTCGGTGAGAACGATGTTCCGAGCTCCATGTTCGATCAACCACTGACACAGCTCTAGTCTGACGCCACCTAGCCCACCACTGATGATGTACGACTTGTAGGCGGTGACAAGCTGGTTGTGAGGCCACACAGACGCGCGTAGAGCTGTGTTGTCATAGTTACTTACAGTCCATCTCTGCCTCCTTCCTCACCTGCCGGGGAGCAGTTAGACTGGTAATCTCCGCTCATGCTATGGGGGCGATACTACTGCAGCGCACCCCCTTGCGCTTGTTATTTATTGTTACCTATTGTTATGAAAGAGTACTTTTTGTTTATTATTTATTATTATTATTCATTTCCAAAGTGGATCACGCGCATTTGTCGGTGGCTTTCTGTGTTGACCGTGTGCCCAACCTGGACATAGGGATTCAATCCAGAAATTTTCCAGGATGTGTGTGCTGTTCCAGTAGTTGCGATCTTTTGCACTTCTTGGGCCAGTGTGTTAGGCCAGGGACGTTCTTAAGGGTTCTTCTCTCAAAACCAATCTTTTGAGAGCAGCAAGGCCTCCAACACCACTTGGCCTTACACATTCTCGTCTATTGTATTCCACATTTTTATCTTATTTAGTATTATTATTATTATTATTATTATTATACATCATCATTATTATTTTACAGTGCAGTAGCTAGTAGAAAACACACAAACACACGCGCACGCACGCACGAACGCAGGCACACACCACAGACATACACACACTATACCTCTCTTCTTTCTACTCTCTTACTTCTCACACACAACACACGACCACGCACACAACACACACACACACAGCACACACACACACACACACACACACACTAACACACACACCAGCCCCCACGACACACACACACAACATACACACCACACACGAACACACACACACAACACTTTACCTGCACCAGCACCTTGCCGACATGCTCCCCCTGCGCACGCCAGCGCAGCGCCGCCCTCACGCGATCGCGCCGCAACACAGCTCGACCTCCAAGATGGCGCCAACCGCTCGCCCTCGATACCTCTGCGGCCAACCAGCGGCCCGCACGCCTCGCGAGTCGTCGTTGTCGGGCTCGAAGAGAGCGTCGATGACGACGCCGTGGAAGGCGACGTTGCGCAGAAAAACGCCATGCGAAGCGACGCGTCGCTACAATCGTCGGTCGGCGCCATGCGCGACGTCGAGGAAGCGGCCATGTTGTGAGCGAGACAGACGAAAAGCGCTCCGCTGCAGCCGCACAGTCCTGCGAGCGAGTTGAGCCACGACGATGGCACGCCTGCGAGAGACGGGCGGCGGGACTCAGTGAACGAGAAAGTGAGAAGTATGCACGAGAGAGGGAACCGAGAGAGGAGAGAGATGGGAGAGAGAGCGAGAGAGAGAGAGGGAGCAGAGAGAGAGAGAGAAGAGAGTAAGAGAGAGACGAGAGAGAGAGAGGAGGTATCAGGTCTGAGAGGAAATATATATATATGATATATATATAGAGGAGAGAGAGAGACGAGAAGAAAAAGCAGAGAGAGAGCGAGAGAAGAGAGAGAGGACAGATCTCAAGAGAGGAGCATTAGCATACGGCAGAAGAGGAGAAGAGGGGCTGAGCGAGAGAGGAGGGAGAGACGAGAGAGCGACAGAGAGAAAGAGAGAGAGAGAAAGAGAGAGAGAGAGAGAGAGAGAGAGCGCGAACGAGAGAGACGGAGGCGTGAGGGAGAAACGCAGCTGTGAGTGAGGGAATGTAAACTCATCAAGCGTTCAGTGATACGCCAATCAACATCGATATACCATCAACATATCCGTGCTACTCTACACCAACGGTGTAATCAAAATCTCGCTCAAATCTGGTTTTATTCGCACCTGTCACTTACTACCTACACGCAACATCACGAGCAAAATACTAGTTGCTATATGAATAATAACATACGTATATATATACGTATATACACCCCCTCAACTAATGCCCCCACCAATGTTACCTTTCCCGTTGGTGGCGATCAGGATCTCCTGCTCAAAGCTAGCGTCACGTGAGTTGCTGAAGTGTGTGCCCTGCAGCTGTGGGAACTTGTGCTTCAGATATTCTCTCTCCTCGTGCGAGCCGACAGTTGTAAACACCTCGCATCCACGGTGCAGCGCCACCGAGATGGCCGCCTGTCCCACATCTCCGCTTCCGCAGTGTATCAGTACCCTGTGGTAGCGCAGCACGATAGAATAGCGCAGCGCCCATCTTAAACATGCGCCGTGAGCGGCCATCTTAAAAAACCTCCATCGTTAAATTTCGAATAAACCTCCATCTTTAAATTTTTTTTAAACCTCCATCTTTAAAATTAAAAAAACCTCCATCTTTAAATTTCTCCGTGATCAGTCGTATTAAAAATTCTCGGCAAAAAAATGTTGACAACAAAATATATATGCGTGTAAATTTAATTACTGAATTAAATGTGTAATATTTAGTATCAAAGTATTTAGAATTACTTCATCAGTAGTAAACACCGTGAAAGTAACATTCGTAATTAGTAGTCAATATTCGTACTAGTATACGCCAAACGATCACCATATCATATATATTTAATCTGTAATCTGTAACTGATTGAGAAATACAACGAGTAATGCATACCTTTCCCCCTTTCTGATCTCGCCCCGCACTATTAGCGCATAGTAGGCCGTAGCGTAGGCCAAAGGTACTGTGGCGGCCTCTTGTAGCGTCCACGACTCGGGCACGGGCCACGTGAACCTGACGTCGGCATCGATGGTCGTCGCCAGCCCCTGAGCCGACAGCAATCCCATGATCCTCCTGCCGTCGCTGCCGTGACCCGAGAACTCCATGCCGAGAATGCCGTCGCCCATCGCCACGTGACCTACAGCGACAGTGGCGACACCTGGCGGTCATCACGCTTCCGAAAGAACAATACTTATGTGGTGAACACTGAACTGTATGTAATAACATTTTAGTAAAACTGGTATTTTGTACAGCTCAGTGGTGATGTATGATCACAGAGTACAATAACAGAGACGACGACGCAATGGTGTTCTTGTCTTTAATTAGGATAAGTATCTAATTAGGACTAGTATTTAATTATGATGTTTATGACGATATTCCTACATCGTAATAACTTGTCTTCTTTCTTCTTCTCTTCCTCCTATTACTCCATGCACCTCATCGCTCTCTGTCACTGACGTCATCTAATTAATCTCATCAAATACCACGCGCTTTATTGATGCTGCTTGAAAACAGAGCGTGCCACGTGTGATGCGTGCAATTCATTATTAGGGCGTAACACAATCTTCAGGTAAAAATGAAACAATTAATTTATGCTGCTCGAAAGCAGAGTTTATGGGCGAGGTGGGATGACATGCTACATGTGATACATGTGAATCAGTAAGACGTAAAAAGAGTAACAAAACACAAAGGTGAGAAAACAACGACAGCGCCAATCCTTTCGTTGAATTTAGCATAATTTTTTATTGCCCGATGTAGTGCGAGCTCCTTACCCCCTAAGACGAGCTTACCCCTATGCATTGAGCATGAGCAAATGAAGATCGAATCCCCATGCGCCAATCAAATGCGCCATGCGGACTATTAGACACGCCCACATAGCCACGTATAGGGGTAAGCTTATCACAGGTGGTAAAGAGCTCGCGCTGAAATTTCGGACAGCTGGTGACGTCACGACATGACGTACCTGGTATGGCGTCTGGTGAGAGTTTGCCCGTGGCCAGCATCGCGTCTCTAGCGTTGAGCGCGGCGTAGCTAACCGAGCACAGCTCCCTGTGTTCGCCATGCGCCATCGACGACCAGTGCCTGAGCGGCGACTCGTACCAGCGCACGCTGGACAGGTCGCCAGGGGTCGCCACGTTTGCGTACGCGTGTTCGGCCATCTTGACTTCGTCATCGCCTGCGAACGTAAAGATGTTCATACTTGAACGCCGGTGCATCGTGGCGTTCGCGTTGCCATTCATCGGTGTCATGGTATCGTCAGTGCGTCTATCAGCACGTAACGGGTCATGTATAAGATTTAATGCATGAGGCCTACTGTGTGTTCTCTCAGCAGAATTCTCGTACGTGTCTGGAAACTTCCGAGATCTATCGAACTGAAGAAACTTCGAATTGTATTCGAGATCTATTGTCTGCCGGTGACTGTTATCAGCACAGACACTTGGAGCGTTTCAATAAAATATAATGCTAAATAAATACGAAATCTATTTACTACCAAAGTCTTAATGTTTCTATACTCTCTTTCACTTATTATTGCCGACAATTTCCTGCAAATGCCGTCCAAATGCTCATCTGCAACAATTTGAACAAACGCTGGCTGTCGCCATGGCTGCCGCTGCACACTGACACATAAATATATAGTGACACATAAATATATAACTATATATTTATGTGTCAGTGTGCAACGGCAGCCATGGCGGCAGACAGGGTTTGTTGCAGATGAGCATTATGGTAGTAAATAGATTTCGTATTTATTTAGCATTATATTTTATTGAAACGCTCCAAGTGCCTGTGGTTATCAGCAAGATATGTCCATCTGGCCCGTGTACTATTTCTATAACTATACGTTATTTATATAATTATATAATTATATATATATATATATAGGCTATATATATATATATATAGGCTATATATAATTATATGGGACGACATAATAATTATTTTCGTATTAAATAAATCATGCACGTATAGACGCATGGTATTTATTGTTATTACATTTTACAAAAATTGATGTACTACCAGCAAATAGCTAACATTACCAAGCCAATTTAGAATTACCTGCTAGCCATATCATAAATCTTATCCCAATGTGACTAGCCTTCCAGTGTGGTGTTGCTGTGTGTGTGTGTTGTGTCGTGTTGTTGTGTGTGTGTGTGTGTGTGTGTTGTTGTGTGTGTGTGTGTGTGTAAGGGTGACTGTGTGCATATAAGATGGTAACTCAAGAGAGAATGAGAGCAGAAAGAGACAGAAAAGCAACCGCCGAAATGAGCAGCAGAATGAGAGCAGCGAGAGAAAGAGAGAGAGAGAGAGAGAGAGAGAGGAAAGAGAGAGAGAGGCGAAAGAGAGGCAGAGAGAGAGAGAAGAGAGAGAGATGAGAGAGGGGGGGGAGAGAGAAAGAGAGGCAAGAGAGAGAAGAGAGAGAGAGAGAGAGAGAGCAGGGGAAGAGAGAGCGAGAGAGAGAGAGAGAGCGAGAAGAGAGAGAAAGAGATGAGAGAGAGAAGAGAGAGAGAGATGAGAGTAGAGAGAGAACATAGAGGGCAGAGAGAGAGAGAGAGAGAGAGAGAGAGAGCGAGAGAGAGAGAGAGAGCAAGAAGAGAGAGAGAGAGAGAGAGAGAGAGAGAGAGAAAGAGAGGCAAGAAGAGAGAGAAAGAGAGAGAGAGAGAGAGAGAGAGAGAAGAGAGGGGAGAGAGAAGCGAGAGAGAGAGAGAGAGAGCGAGAGAGAGAGAGAGAGAGAGAGAGAACACAAGAAGAGAGAGAGAGAGAAGAGAGGCAGAAGGAGAGAGAGAGAGGAGAGAGAGAGAGAATAAGGGGAAGAGCGAAGCGAGAGAGAGAGAGAGAGAGAGCGAGAGAAAGAGAGAGAGAGAGTAGAGAGCATAAGAAGAGAGAGAGAGAGAGAGAGAGAGAGAGACGAGAAGAAAGAGAGGCAGAGAGAGAGAGAGAGAGAGAAGAGAGCAGAGAGAGGGAGAAGAGAGAAGCGAGAGAGAGAGAGAGCCACGAAGAGAGAGAGAGAGGATAGAGAGAGAGAGCAGAGAGAGAAGAAAGGAGAGAGAGAGAGAGAGAGACCGCGCGAAGAGAGAGGAGAGAG